AAATCAAAGTTATCACTTTTTTACTATACCGTTATATCAAGTAATTTATGCCGAATAAAATTAGCATTGTTGTATACTTTGTACCTGCGGTACCAGTAGGTCGTCTTCAAACCACCAGCGTTCGGAAACGTCTTTACCAAGTTAAAACTGCTACAAATTCTATCGATATACGTTGCGAGCCAGAAGAGTCCTAGTATCTTGCATAAATCGATTGAGTTATTTGTGCTCGTTTCTTGTCGTTTTGGTACGGTTCTAGGGTCGTTTCGAGAAAAGTACTGTATTCTTTCATACAGCCCATTTTATAGTAGTGCAGGATAAGACATTGGTAGACATATTAGAATAAAATCAGTAGCCCGTAGAGAGCTTGGTGAACATTCTGCTGAACATTTCGCTTCGACAGTGTGGAAACAAAGAAATAAAAAATCTCTGAATCGCAATCGTTTGGCTGATAAGTCCTTGGTAGACTCCAATTCGGAGTCACATAGTACACCTAGAAAGTTCTAAAATAAGGCTGGAATTAACCCTAGTGTGATCGGAAAAAGCTTGGTCTGATAGAGCATTTTTAAAGATTTGTTAGAATCAAGCGATACTTATCCGAAAATTGAACATGAGCATGTTTCAGAAAAATTCAGATTATTTATTAAAAACATTTTACCAGAATGTTCTGCAGGAATTCAGACTAACGGATTGATATTAGATAAGATGGCCGACAAAATACTGAACATCGAACATGTTAACTCCTTAAGGCAGTCTTAAGGTTGATGCAAAAGCAAAGCCTTTTGTAAACTGATGCTCGAAGTCAGAATGACATGTACATTCGAGAAAGTCCTAACATTTCTCTAGAAAAGAGATTAGAAAGAAAAATAGTGAAGTTAACCTCTGCTTAGGGGGTTTCTTATTAATCAGGTCTTAGAGGCGAGTGTCACCGAAGCCTATATGGATAAGTCATTCTCTTTAGGAGTTTTATGTGCGATTGCTCGTAGACTAGGAAATAAACTCCAGGAGCTAGGAATATCACTCACTTCTCTTGAGACATGTATGGGTAGAACAAATGATTATCAAAACATCGTGAATATGTTTTACACAAAAGATTGTACTCTATGTAATGTATTTCATGGGCTAGAAATATCAGTTGGAGAGCCAGAACCACTCATCGTAGCTGAAACCGGAACTTGGTAAGTTTGTGACTTTAACGTCACTCCAAAATTGTCGGGACACAGCCAGCTTGAAAGTCATAGGAGTAGATGCAGGAAAAAGGATGGAATCTTTATATACATAGTTAACAACATAAACACCTGTTCCTTTGTTTGTGAATTTCATGATAAAGGAACTTAACAAGTCATTAACTCACTTTCAAGGGTTGTGCATTTGCACTTACTGTCATCTGTCTTAGCCCAATCTGCTTGGCTGATGCTTTTATTCATAACATCTTCAGATATGGAGTAAAAATAATAGATGCTTAATATTAGGATATTTTAATGCACCTGGTATTACTTGGACAGAGTTGACCATCATAAGATGTGAAAACTCTTTCCACAGCAGGCTCCTGATGACGGTGTGGAGCATGCTTTAGTAAAGCATGTATCCGAACCCACAGATTTTGGTTTAAGCCAAGAATCTTCTCTGCAACCGAGTCTACTGTTTGTCCAAATAGCATATAGCTATAATATACCGCCGTTCACATAATTCTTAGCACCATGTAGACCGAATAAATGTTCACCGTACATAATTAAACGGATCAAGAAACGTCCTGAATGTGGAAAATAGCACTGGAGTTAGTTTATCTCTACAGGTTTCGAACAACATAGATCAATTTATTGTAAGGCTAAGAGTGCTTGCAACTTGCTAATCAATGAGGTTGGATATTTCTAAGAAAAACAATCGTCTGTGGATTATGAAAATAGTCCGTAAAGGTTGTCCTCGTAAATGAAGTAATGGGATCTCACTACATTTACTACAGGAGAATCCATTGATATTTGCAAGAAATGGCGTTGTGAAAGCTAAAGCTTTGTCAGAATATTTTAATGAAATCGTGATGGTGAAAGACCAGTGATAATCGTGATGATTGCAGCTTGTTGATAAATCTTGTGGTCCAGTGATTACTTCAATATTTCAAACCAGATATGTTCAGAGGTCCTAAATATGTTCATTCTAGGATCATGAAAGCCCTAGAGGATGTATGTACTGGTCCTCTGATATTATTGTTTGATATGTCTTTGTTGCAATTTGAACCGCAAAGAGACCTGAAGGACGCGATAATCAGTCAGGTTTACAAAGCGGGGAGCAGAGATTTGGCTATTAACTGCCGACCCGTTAGTTAAACCAATGTATTTGTAAAACTAGTGGAAAAAATATTCAAACTTAAACTACGTAGGGTGGAATAATCTTTTATTAAGAGGACAACATGGTAAATATGGCAAAGGTATTCGGAGATTTATAACGTCTTTACACGTAACACCTTTATAAACGGGTTATGCCAATCCAGTCAAAACAGAAGTCAGGAATGAATATATATTCGGAAGGCTATGGATTTAATCCACGCTGGCTAATGGTTGTATGAGGTGCGTAACACGCAGCACCTACTCGTGGTCTGGCGCGGATAAGTGTCCGAGAGCCTTCAGCTAGCAGTGTGCATCAAAACTAGTAGGATAAATATTAAATATCAAGAAGACTTACAGAACTACTTATTTTGATGATTTGTTTACTGCTACAATGGATTGAGAAAAAGCGTATCAGGCTTTAAACATTTGCCAATTGCAAGAGCAAAACAGCAATATTCCGTAAGATGTAACTTCTACAGACCTAGGTAAAGCTTCTGACAAGGTCTCTCGCTTGGATTTAAGATTAAAACTGAAAATTTTCAGGACTCGTTGTGAAATCATATATTGGATAATTGGCTTTCTCAATTATGAGAGGTAATGGGTACAAAAATTGGGCTCTATCAACATGGGAATCTGTAATAGTGGAGTTCTTCAAGGAACTATTCTCGATCTTTTTTTCGACCTTACGCAAATGACTTGCCAATCATAACAACTCATCTGTCCTACTTTTTGCAGATGATATAAAGATTTAGGCACTCATAAATGGTGGCAGATAGAATAATATTACAGGATGACCTAAATTCACTGGTTGAGTGGATTAGTAGGTGGTCATTAGAAGTTAACTCTAACAAGAGTATGGTAACGCAAATAAGTAACTATGATTTGTGTTACTTGAATCAATGAACTACAAATATCTAGGAGTCGTAATAAGCAACGACCTCGAAACCACTAGTAATGCCAATTCTGTCGTTTCCAGGGTCTTATGGGCTATTCGTAAATCGCTTCGCTATCAGGACAAAATTTTTTTTAGGTGTATTATACCTGACTTTCGTGAGGCCACAACAGGAATATGGAATTCAAGCAGAGAGTCCTTATTTCAGGTATGAGACTGATACGTCAAAAAGATTTCTGAGGTGATGAACCGAAGTGGCGAGAGGTTTCTCTGGTCTATCGTATAAAGATAAACCGAGATATCTCAACCCATTTCCGCTGTCTCACCGCAGGTTATGTGGTGATTTAATACTAGCTTACCATATGCTGAACAATAAATTTGTCACTGCCATGTCTTATACTGCTCTTTAATCTAGGGCTAGCCATTTGACGGGACATTCCAAAGCACTTCAAAAACCGAAATCAAGACATTTAAGTCTGGATATCCGTTTCTCTCATTGAGTAGTAAATTGCCAGAACACGTAACATCAGCCCCTTCTGTTGATGTATACAGAGCGAGATTGAATGACCAAAGCACTACAAATTCCAAGGATTAATATAGGTCGATTGACCTATCTTATCTGCTAAATATTGAATTTCAATACTATATGCCGCCTAATAAGAAGAGTACGCTTCTTTGACCTGACAGGTGTTTTAACGCTTATTTTCCTTCTCAGTCCTGTTTGTTGAATGTATTAGTAAAATGTTATCACTCGCTAAGAAATTTAGGAGTGCTTAAAACCGTTATTCTAATTCACGAACACCAATAATAAGAATGTATCACAACATCTAAACGCGATCATCGTAATACCAATGATCAAATTTGCACTTCAAAGCTTTAGCTTTGTGTAAATCACTAGGTTGAGACCACAGGGCGCAAATACTAACACTGAAACAATTGCTTTTATTTTTCTGATGCACTGTCTCATCAGATTATGCTAGAGAGCATCAAAGGTTTTCCACATTTACCCTTTTACTTTATGTAGCTTTTATTCAGGCTGTGAGAGAGCTGTCACTTACACCAAATTGTCGTTGTTTAGACAGTCAGTACGTTGTATGGTATTTGTGGTCTTCTGACACTGAACTCAAACTATGTTTGCCTTATCCACTCATTACTAACATCAACTTAAGGCTATTGTGCGAGCTACAATTGGAATAAAATAGAGGAAACCGTAGTGTAATAAAGTCTAACTTGTGAAGTCTTCACGAACAGTAGAGCAACGTCAAAAGATGCAGTTTCATGGAAGCCGGTCACCAACAGTAGGTTCATACGCCATTTGTTCCCTCAGGATCCTACAGACCATGTGCATTGGTTTGGAATTAGGGTTTTCCGACTCCCCTAGGTGGATCCTCCATATTCGCCAACCATGTTAAGGAGCCAGACTTACGCTTTTCGTCCTCTCAATTTCGTAAACAAACAGCTATGTAAACAGCAGCGACATCTATTAGTGATTTAAGGGTCACGAAAAACTAGTAGACTTCTACTAATCATATGATTTTGCGATGGTGGAGAAGATTTGTAGCTCAGGTGGATGATTTTGGTGGAGTTTTGTTCTCTGAGCTGGATGGTTTGGTCGTGGAGCTTTCATCGTTCTTCTGAACGACATCATCAGCACAAACTTCAAATAGAAGTGAAGTGTTCGAATTTCTCCATATGTGTTTCACAGCTTGTTCTGTGCACCTCGATGTTGATTGGTTCTTGTTGACCTTAAGTTTATCATTGTTTACAATGATACATATGGAGAAATTCGAACACTTCACTTCTATTTGAAGTTTGTGCTGATGATGTCGTTCAGAAGAACGATGAAAGCTCCACGACCAAACCATCCAGCTCAGAGAACAAAACTCCACCAAAAGACTTCTACTAAGTTTATTGCACTGATGGATTCGCGCAAACTCGTCTCATCAAGCTTAGAACACAATAAAGAGCGAAAACAAATCAGATTTGGGGTAGGCAAAAGTCTAAGGAACGACCGTGAGCAGTGCTGAGCAACGAAAGCAAAGAGATCAAAAAGGCAGCAGCTGTTGCTAACATCAGACAGATTTTCAGACTAATAAAAGAAATTAGGATTAACAGGTCGAGTGTAAGTGCGATAGTCTCGGAAAAAACGACAGTCTTATTTGCTGTCAGTCCAGACGTGTAGGACTTTGGGCGGAACACTAGGGAGCAGTTCAACTAGCTTCCAGCTACTCTGCAACTACCCACCATCCCCAAACAGCGTGAATGAGACATTGAAGTAGGTCCCCCGACTCAAGATGAAGTTCAAAAGGCTGTAGCTAATCTGGAGCGAGGAAGAGCAGATGGATTGGCTGCAAAGGTCTTTAAGGTTAGTGGTCCAGTTTTAGCGATTGAGTTGCCTAATATTTTAGCTAAAACCTGGGAACTGAATATAATTCCATCTGACTGGTCGCAATCACTGATTGTCCCAATATATAAGAATGGGTCGAAATCCTCTTGTCTTAACCGTAGAGGGATTACATTAATATAGCATATAAAATACTAGCTTCAATAATAATCGGGCGTCTAACAAATACTCGTGAACTGCAAATACGAGGAAATCGGGCTGGCTTCAGACCTGGTCGTAGCTGCATCGACCACATACTAACTGTTTATCGGATTTCAAAACAAAGACATACCTATCGGCATCTGACAATGATTGTTTTTCCTGACTTTAAAGTAGCATTTGACTCTGTAGACCAAGAGGTTCTGTGGCAGTAGCTGTCATTGAAAGGCGCACCACAGAAGTACATAAACCTTGTGAAGGCTCTACTTGAACACTAGCAGTCGAGTCAGAGCTTATAGCGAACTGTCATCTGATTATACAACCTCAAGTGGTGTCCATCAAGGCTGTCCACTATCTCCATTTTTGTTTAACTTTATCATAGACCTACTGCTGGAAATAACGTTGTCGACTAAATTTTCAAGAACCGACCTTCCAGGAGGTCCATTATCGACTTAGAATGCGCAGATAGCATTGTCCTGTTTGATGAAGACGTTGATAAAATGCAGAGTCTTTTGGTAACCGAGAAACAATACCAGGATGTTTGGGATGCGTTTCTCCCCCTTTAAATGCAGGTTGTTGCTTCAGGACTGGTCTGTGTCAACACCTGAACTAGGGATAGGGAGTGAAGTAGTCGAACGTATCGTCAACTTCACTTATCTTGGAAGTCTAATCAGCCTAAATGGGTTGGTGCCTAACGAAATCTCAGCACGGATTAGAAAAGCTCGCTTGGCTTTTGCCAACTCACGTCACCTATGGCGAAGGTGATTTGTCCGTCTATCAACCAGTGAACGAGTATACTGCGCGGCAGTTCGTTCTGTTCTACTTTACGGCTACGAAACGTGACCATTAAGAGTAGAAGATGCTCGTAAGCTACTAGTATTTGACCACAGATGCCTTAGAAATATTGCTGGCATCTGCTGGGATCACCGCGTAAATAATAGTGAACTTAGACACAGGGTATTAGGGAATGATGGTAAATTAGTTGATGTGGTTGTCAATCTTGATCGACTGAGATGGTTGGGTTACGTGTTGCGTTTGCTTGAACACCAATTACCACGACGCGCAATGCTGACCAGTGTTGAAAACGATTGTAAGAAAGTTAGGGGAAGCCAAATCAAAACGTGGCATCAGTGCTTATGGTCACTAACTTCTGATCTTAGCCATGTTGGTAGATGCAGACTGCTTGGTTGGGGTCCGCGTAACTATCGTAACCAGTGGTTGGAGACTCTGTATGACATGGCTCAGAATAGATCACAATGGCATCGGTGTGCACATTCTTTGTCTTCCCTTAAACTATGAGATTAACATTATTTCATATCTTTCTTTCTACGAACTAATTCTTTCTTCCTGTATTATATATGTGCAATCTTTCTTTTATATATTACCACCATCGAAGTAAGTAATTCTATTAATCTGGTGTTCATTTTGTTGTGTTAATGAGGTGTGTCAACTTGGACCGATGCACATATGTGTCTGGTCCTACGTTGTAGCTGACTGACTGTCTGTTAAGTAGTTAGGTGTTCGAGTCGAAAGTACAATAATCTTTTTAATTGTTGGGGCTCTTTATTAGAATAATCTAAATTTATTTTGGGTTTTAACCTTATATCCTGTTTCCTGTTTTTTAGTGGTTTCTTAAAAATAACATTCGGACATAAAAAAGGAAATCCACCGAACAATAGCTTCTTAATGTCAAGCAAATGTATTGACGTGCCATGTTACATATGTTTCCTATTTGTATGGATAGTTCATTTCATTCATTTTATTTACACTTTTCTATTTAAAGATATGCAGTTTACAAGTAAATAAGTTTATGGATGAACATTCTTATTCATTTTTTCAGTTATAACAAATGAATGCCTTATAGAATCATACCCATTTAAACTCTTTATACTTACAGTAATCTATTTTCTGTGATACATTTATAATTCTTGTAATTGAATGCTAAAGCGCAAAGCGGTCAGACGTTGTTCTGCACATTATTATGTGACTGCTGAAGACCACGTTGAAAACGAAGTAAAACACGAAAAACTTCTGACAGAAACTTCTCGATTATCATCTTCATGGGCTGGTCTAAGTGTTTCATGCAGTGAATCTAGCGATAGAGATTGTTCATCGTCTTCCACATCTGTGAATAGCAGCCCTAATCATCGTCCTAGTTCTTTCAGTGGGCCTCTGGTAATTTCCGTCACTTGTTCTTATCCTATCTGTTCCGGAGTTAGCAACTGTGGTCCTTCTGTTGCCACTGGTTCTAGTAAGGGTATGCCTTCGAGTCCTCCTCATTTTCCTCGATCATCTTCTTGCTATCCGTCACCGGTTGCGTCACCTGTCTCTTCACGCGTTCAGTGTTATTCACCTTCTTTACCAACCTCAACTGTTTCTCCCAATCCCCGTCGATTTAGCAATACCGGTGGTGCAAGTCCTTTGCTTGTTTCAGCTGCTCTTGGACGCAAACGAGGGTATTTGTCTTGTGTGTCTGGGGGTGCAGGTTCTAGTGATGATGCTAGTCGTGAGGGATCACCAGAATCTTCATGTTGTCACAGAAATAACAAATCTTCATGTCAAAATGATGTCCGGATATGTAGCAGTGGCACAAATCCATATTCTGACTTCCCCTATTTCCGTTGGCCACCGAGTTTACCTGTAGTATCAAGTCCTTCTAGCCCATCATGTCAACTTTTTTCTGTGGCTACAAACTCCAGTAGCCCATCTTCGATTCCTCCTTCTCCTCATGTCCTGCCCTCATCTCCTATATCTTCTATCTCTCATTCTTCAGTACCATCTGGTGTTGTTGAATGTACACGCTCTCCAAACGACCTTAATGTCTCTAATGCATTAAGGACAAATGAGATTACGGATTCTATGATGGACTTAAATGTTAAGAAGTGTTCTACTTCAAATTAGTCACATGGATTGTAATCATGTCTTGTTACATTTCAATGTTAATACATACTAAAAATATCCCTTTCATCGACGTCAAATGTCCTACTGTATGTCTGAATTTTTGTCTTCGTTAAACTTTTCTGTCTACCTCTAGGGCTTTTATTTTCAACTTTCAATGAGATTTACTCTGTGTATCCTTATAATACTCAATTTACTACTTTTTTACAATTCATTTTTTGTTGAATATTAAACTGATGTCTGGTAAAGTGTTGTTCAGCTCAAGATCTTTCGCTATCCCGATGGTAAACCACATTCGGTAATTATGTTTATATTATGAAAAATGGTACATTTTTATAATCAGTGATTAACCAACTCTTAAAAAACTTCTATTTTCCCAAAAACTAGTTTTTATTGTGGTTTTCATTATTGGCGAAAGTTGGTGAATCTCGTGCGCTCGATGCATATTTCGGTTTAATAACTAGATATTTACGTCTTTTGATTATACTCAGTCGAGTAATTGTATCGATAAAAAGATTCACACATTATGTGTCTGTTTCATTTAACACCCAGATTATTAGGAGAGGCTTTACATTATGTGAAGTACAGTTTAAGGTGTATTCATTAATATATTTAGTACAGTTTATCATAATGTATAATACCTGCACTTTTAAATTATTTATTCATAGCTCTCTCGTGCAAAAGCCTTGGTGTATTTTATTTCCTAAGATCAAAACTGTTAAAACTTTAAACATCTAGCACTAATGGATTCCTTCGAGCTCTTAAAATATTGCGTCATTAGTTGAGTGTTTGATGGTTTTCCTACAAGCTACAGTCAAAGAGACAATCAAGCATACTTTTTATGCATTCCTTTCTGAGAGCTGGCAAGTCCACAAATAAGCACATTATACTTGTTAATTATGCATCAGGCATCAAAAAATCTTATCAACAATCTTATTTACTTTTCGTGACACTAGATCAGAGATTTATTATAGAAACATCTAGTCCCATAAACAATGTGTAATTGAAAATTTATTTGTCTCAGTGATTCAGTCGAAAACAGTTTTCTATTACAATGTAAGTACGCTAATAAAATTCTCACTCTTCAATCTTCCGGGTTCAAATCATGCTGTTCTCACGAAAGGGGTATTCTGAAAGTGATATGACTTGAAAAGCTTCGGCGGTGATCCTATTGCTCCATTCAGTTAGTATTTGACAATTGATCGGATGTTAATACTTTAAATTTAACAATACGTTTTAGCGATTAGTGTATTTTCGTAATATCACTAATGGTGGAAAATATGGTCCTACTGGCATCTTGTTTGCCATTTGTCCTAGCTACAGTTTCTTTTAGATTTCAAGAAAGCGACATTTAATTTCCCATGCTATTTTTCAGTAGTAGTTCAGTAGGTGTCGACTTGTGTTAACCATTCCCGAATGTTTCGTAAAAAATAGCCCGCGTGATTAACAAGTTCATTTCTATTTGACTCAAAACAGTAGTTTCCAATCAATAAACTTAAGCATTCATGAAGTACATTTATTCACTACCGACAGCTATGATCTCTGGTGCTCGGTTTTCTAAGGCGTGAAAGTCGGGTTTAGCCCCACTAAATTAGCATAAAGCGTTGGCCACCATATTTTCCCAGGAAAGGTAGTACACTTAATAAGGTAAGTGCGGAGATATCAGTCTGATTGTTGTTGTTCCATCATTCTTAGAACCAATGGTAGTTTCCAACATAGTTGTCTAATAGTAATCGAAAACCTAGAACTTTCGGATGTTTCACGCTACTTGTTCTGTATTCATCAAATTTAAACCAACCATCAGGTTTTTAAAAAAATGCTTACCAGCTCTAGTTGTGTTGATCACTTCTAAAATTGAAAGTAATATCGAATTCCCAACATGCTCCCTGGGAATTCGGTTCCATGTCACCCAGCTCCACAATTAGAAACGTTACCATTGAAATATCCGGGACGCGATTGATCTGCAGGCTCAGACTTTTCTGCCGTCTACTTCCAAACAGCACCTGTAAGCCAACATAGTTCACGTGATATGGAGTCACTTAGATTAGTGGATTGTAGCTTAATCGATAAAATCCGATCAGCACTAAAAAGGACTTGACATACATAACATCGGTTACTATTGAGTGACCACTCAGTTGTGAATTTCAGTGATATCAAACTTACATTTATTAGAAATTAATTGTCGTTCAACCTAATATTAATTACAACTCAGTATTGAGCGATTCCTTAGTCTTACCTTTCGAATTGATAGAGGGTTGACTTAATGGTTATACTATTCCAATAACATTAGGCTGAAGGTCCGACTTTCTGTCGGCCTTGGTTTGAGTAGTCAGGTAGTTTAACCTGTCCTTACAATAAATATACTTCTCGAAGCCTAGTATATAAATTTTTGTTTAGTGAATTGAATACCGCCTATATCAAGATTCAGATCTCAAACTGCCCATTTTCGTCCACACATGCTTGGTTATCGTAGTGTAATAGCTAATTCCTTTGGGATAGTAAGATAATTTAAAGATTTTCATAAGCCATGGATCCTTTTCATCTTGAGTCTAGAAGTATAATGTTCACACTAAGAATCGATTTATATAGACCAGTCACACTATTCCGAACATCACAATGGCGTTTTCATAAACACTCAAATTGTTTTTCTCATGTACGGATAGTAATGACCGATATCATCTGTTTGATATTTTATCTTCAAATAAGATAAAAACTGTTAACTCACTGTGACATAGTGTTTTTCAACAGTGATTTGAATCAACAGGTTAAATAATAAATATATTTTTTGTTATATTCCAAGAAGTAGAAAATTGTATTTCCGACATTTCGTAACTTAATGTAAGCCACTTCAGTTATTTATCTATCCCGAGGAAGTAGTTTACATTAAGTCACGAAACGTCAGAAATACAACTTTTCTACTCATTGGGATATGACAAAATATATATTCATTATTAAATCTCTACCCAATGCTCAATTTATTTAAAACTATCAAGTCCCACCTTGTCATTGATACCTATGAACTTACAGAAACTTCAAGATTGTCAAATGAATGTAAGTTTATCGGTAATTTTAGTGTTCAGTATTGAAAGTTAACAGTAACGCCCTGTTATATTTCATGTCAGTGGAATTTATTGACGGATGGTTCACTCATACCGGTTGAGCTAATTTGTATCGGTTTTGTTTAGTTTGATTATTCTTCTTTCAGAAAGTTAAGAATAGAATCAAATAATAGAAAATAATATTATTCCACTTTGGTTTAATAACATCTCGTATAGACTTGTTCTCTCAAGGTGTATATGATATATTGATTACAAATATTGAAGTGATTTTTCTCTTCATATTATCGATTATGTTATGAACGATACACTTATTATCGCAATCAATAAGATTAGGTCCTGTAAATTATTTGCGAATTATGTGAAGAAGGAATACATTTTTACTTTTTTTCTGCAGTCTTGCATACTTTCTGCGACCTACATAATCCAGTTATGTTTCGATGAAACCAGGTTCATTTTCTGATAACACTTAATCATTATAAATTTGTAATCTGGAATATAAACTTTCAGGGTGTCAACGTAAAAAAAGGTTGTTGAACAAATTAAACAAGAGTCATGACAATCTTTAGACATTCATTCTCCCTTTGTAACTCATGCTTCTCATCATGCAGTGTAAACTAATGCTTCATGCTTCCGTGATCAGTTCTACGGGTTTATATAAAATTTAATTTTCCACCTTAAATCAGTGAATATTATTTATAGGATACTAAATGAATTTTATGATGTTTCCTCCTCAAAAACCAAAATAACTTTACGATCTGTTGGAAATCTGTCCTGATTTACTTTCAAGTTCTTTGGACAATGAAAACTATAAATCCGCCAGCGAATCAAATTTAGGATTTTGTAGTAAACAAACTAGTGTTGGAACATCGGATGAGGAGTGAATTATCAACAATTTGTCAAATGTTACCGATAGACTTCATAACGTAAACATTTGATTATTCCATTTCAAGGCGACCTCTCGATCGCAAAACTACAACGTCTAACTACTTATTCAAAATCCAAGAATCTCTAAACAGTTAAGTTTCTTATACACAACGAATAAATCAAGTGACTATTCGAAGAATGACCTCCAAGAGAAATTCGTTACAAGACCACTGTAGAAGTGGAGAGTAGGGAATAAGAACGATGGTGCTAATTGTACTCTGACTTTCAATTCATCCTTATAAAACGATGCTATATGTTGATGATGAACCTTTCACTTTAAATGTAAACAATAATGAAATTCAAACATTATTATTTATTGAGTAACTAATGTGTTTATCTTATCAATATGGTTTCTCTGAATTGTATATACGCAATGAGAATTCTGGTGTAGATTAGAAAATACAATACAAATAAGATAATGTGTGCAAAACTATACACACAGACACATGACATGTTGGTTTAAATACAGAAATCTGTTTGATATTTTTATTGGTCTTTTCTCAAGCGTATGAAAAAAGAAAACAATAAATAGCAGATGAAGAGAGAAATGGCAATGAAAAGACAAGATACTACTATGTTGGAAACGAAGAAAATAAGGAAAAGATAAATCGATGAGGAGAAAGGAAACACCAAGAAACCACAAAACTGGACGCCAAAATGAGGAGAAAAGGCACACACGCACATGTACGGCATAAAGTAAGCAATGTTGAGGCAGAGATACAGAAACAAAACAAAGTACAGAAAAGAGAAGAGAGATATCGGAAATGGTACTGAAAAGATTGGAATATCCAACGAAGTGATCATGATAAAAAAAGTAATCAGAGTGAAAGAGATCCGTTATAGTTCATTTTACGTATACACTAAATTGAAAACGAGTAATTATATCATTCGAGCAGGGAGGGAGAGAAAGGATGATGACAGTGCTCTGAAGGCAATCCAGAAAAAAGAGCAAATAATAACGCAGCATAAAATATTTCTAAAATTATTTCATATTGATGTATGAAAATGAAAGAAACTAGGCAAGAGAAAAATAACTAAATCATTATGCAAAATCATAACAAACAAAAAACGACAAGATACAACGAAAGTAAAATCAAGAAAACAGGCATATTTATCTACGGTTCGTTGACAGTGAATTATATATACCAGAGTATACATCGATATTTGTGTCCTTTTTGTATATGTAAAATCGACTGCTTCAAAATTAAATGTATAAACGGAAAACAATTGTAGTGGGAAAAACCAATCAAAGAAAAGCATCAGTCATGTTTATCTTTCACCATAAAACAAATCGATTGAGTTGATTTAAGATTTCTTTAAAATGGATTCCCATTACACACGGACAAACACCCGTGAAACCATATATATCGGTCATAAAAAGAAACACATCGAATA